AAAAAAAAAAAAAAAAAAAAATTAAGATTTATGTGCACTTAAATAAGTTTCATTTCAGCACGCAAATTGTCAAGCCGGCAATAATGAAATTATTATTTCATTTATATAATTAATATTATTTAAACGGAATATTTAAAACATATAGTATTAATTACGCACATCTCAGACCCGCTCAGTTTGTGTGTGTGTGTGAGGGTGTGGGTGTTGGAGACATTAAAAAAAAAAAAGGCTAATAAATCAGCTGAAATTAATTATATATAAGATGGCGGGGGGCAGTCGAGTGCTCCATAAATGACAGCGACACTTACGGAAACGTGCTCTACACGTGGCCGGTCAGGTGGGAGGGTGGAGGTTAACTCTGTATTGATATTACAGTTATGTGCATAATAAGTGCGCATTATGCTGCTTAATCCAGACAATAAAGCACAATTACAACAGCCGCCACCAACTATGTGGCAAAAGCCGCAGGCTGTTTGATATGAAATTATTGGCATGGTTTATTCGCCAATGTGTGTAAAATGCAGCGACAAATAAATCCGGGAATATTGCGGGTGTGGAGGGGGGAGGGTCAGCATTATGGGTCGGGTCGTTCCAGTCGGCCATGAAAATATGTTGGTGGCATTAAGCGTATATTGCGAATATTGTCTTGTCAATAATGCCCTGACACTGCATTTCCAATTAAACTTGTTCATATTAATTTCATGGCAAAGAGCTTAATGCATTTGTAAAGAGCGCAGCTTTGCACTTGAATATATGCATGAATGGAAATGCCTTGAAATGTCAATTTCCATTTTGTATTGTGAATTTAGTTGAATGGCATTTTTATTGGGGTCAAATGTTGTAGAAAAACTGAAAAGATTAAATTGAAAATGTAAAAAGAAATGTTGGCTGTAATAAGTCGAATAAGCTGTTTAACTATTTATACCCTTTTCTTATGCAAGTACTTAGAATATAGAAATAAGATATTTTAAAAATTTTTTATCAGTTTACCTAAGTTAAAAGGAAAGATGAATTGACAGATTGTCAAAGAAGAAAATATTTTTTAATATATTTTGGCAATTAAAGACCAAGAAATAGATTGATTGCACCATATAACTAGTATACGCCATTCAAACTATCGATGAGTATATTAGCAAAATTAAAATAAAATAAATTGTTATCAGTTGACATGAGTGAATCTAAAATACATCGAGTATATTCAAATGCATTCTGATCTACTCTAAGTAATTAAATTCATTTGATTTTGTAGATAGAAAATATTTATTGTTTATATTTATTGTTGATAATGCGCATAATAATGTTGACTGTAATCCATATAGACGATATTATAGTTAAAGTTTGAACCGTTTCGAGTGTCTTCTCATTTGCCACCTCGCACATTGCAGACTCGGCAATCACCATTGATGATCACATTGCCAGGGTTAAGGGGCGTGGCTGTTGAAAGTCAAAGTAATTAGTTTTTCTCTTGCAGTTCATTTCCATGAAATTTTGTTGTAGTACTTACCACTAGCCAGAGCCAGCAGACCGAGCAGAAAGGCAATTGATAGGAATTTCATTTTGTTTAGTTAGTTAATTAGCTTGTTGCTTGTGGAAGTGAAGCTGAACTGATGCTGTTTGGCCCAGTGCCGTGAGCTTTTATACGCAGATCATCAGAAGCGCATTTGCTGCTACGGTAACAGTGGGGAAAACGCAGCGATTATCAGACGGGATTACCCCCTCTTTCAGTCCAGAACGTGAATTCCCCAGTTCATTTGAGACGTTGGGCAAACACGGCGATAAGCTCATCTCGTCTAGTAACAGCGTATTAAAATCATATTATATGGAAGCCGAGCTCGAAGTGTAGTTATTGTTGTTGTTGTTGTTGCTGATTGAAAACTGGCTTTTACGTACTCAGAACATAAGGCAATCAACTTTGATTCGCCGGCTTTTCTTTAGAAAAACAGAAAAAACTCGCTTTCAGCCGCTTGACACTTTATGACATTTTCAATTAACTAACCGGCGCACGTTGCAGCGTAATTGACATTTGCATAAGTTCCAACTAAGTTTGTTGTTATCAAATTAGCATTGCAAATTGTGAATTGCAACGAGGAATTCAATGAATGCGTTTCTATTCATATTGATTGTAATCAATCTTTAGGTATGATATGCTTAACGATTTATCATATTGCCGGGAGTTGGTTGTTGTGGTAAAATAAGTAGTTAAAGGTTTTTATTGGTTTACTCAACGTGGAAAGCCCTTAAACTAGAAAATGATTAAAAAAATAATAATAATAATAAAATAAACAATTCTGTTGAATTCACATGTCGTCAGTTCATACCATTTTCACGCCCATTTGATTGCATGCAAATAGTCGGAGCATATGGAGCTTATGCGGCACAATTGCCAGTAATGAAAAACCTTATATGTGCTATGAGAAAAGGCGTCCGTATTTGAATAAACCCAACATGAATTTGAAATAAAAAGTTTCGTGCAGATATCTCATTTGTATGCACATAAATTGCATTACGAATTGACGCTTTACGGACGAAAAAAAAAATAAAGCAAAAGAAAAGATAAAAAAAAGTGTTCGGAAGAGCAGTGAAAAACCTGACTGAGAAGAGCGAACAAGACACAGCGGAAGGTAAAATAAATTAAAAACTCTCCAAGAATGCTTCGCTGCTGGCAAAGAAGACACAGCGGAATTGCAGCAGCAGCAGCAGCAACAGCGCGAATGTAAAAAATTGCTGAGCTACGCGTGTCCTTGCCGCGGCTCCTGTCACACCAAATAATAACAAAAGGTGCAAAGCAAAGCAGTGAAAACGAAGACAAAAAAAAAAAAAGAACCATGAAAAAAGAAGAAAATGAAATACAACAAAAAATTAAACAGAAATGCACTGGCAGAGTGCAGCATGTACGCTGAAGGCAGACCACGCCCACATTCGCGGCAGTGGAACCCTTGCTGATTTTGATGTTGGTAAATTTTTGTGCATTTATCATTCGGCCACCTGCCATGCCAGATCCTCTGTTCACCTGCATCCATTCCGATTTACTCTATATTTTCTTCATTTTTTCCTCCTTTTTTGTTGTTGTACATTTCCCGCTTGATTTTCACGAATTACGTTTATTGCTGCATAGTGTAGAAGAGAAGAGCAAGAAAGAGAGGAGAGTTTGGAAAATTGAAAAATGCTCCAAGTTCACTTGGCATTCGCATTGCAAACAACAGCACAAGGAATTGTCGATACGTTTTGGAAATAAAATGAAAGAGAGAGAAAGAGAAAAAGAGAAAAAAAAAAAACCAAAACTTCGAATTGATGATGAATTGATTTATGTTTGCGTATTCGCCTAAAAAAAATTCCCAAAACACTTTTTCCCATTTCCATTTTCGTTTTGATTTCTATTTCAAAAAAAATAGCATTACATAGCCTTAAAGACCGCTGCACTGATTGTATGTTGCATTGCTCAGAGAATTATTTGAAATCGGATGCTTTCGATAAGCTAAATTCGTTTACAGTTGAAAAAAAAAGAGAAGGATGTGGCTCCTGCCGGAAAGAAGTTGATAGGGGAAGTTAGCGAAAGCTGAAGCGAATCTGTTTACTAATGATGATATTTTGGTTAATAGACAAAATGTGAAACAATGTGCAGAGATTGCTCTGTGAAGCGTGAGAATCTAGGTGGTTGATTGAAGAGCGTATTAAAAGTAGATTGTAAATTGTGCAAGGTGGCATTTGTGATGCGTCGAGCAGAGATCAGTCCAGGAAATCTAGTCTTATGTATGTATATATGTGAGTAGCCCATTCAGTTCTATAGTCTTATCATATTTATATGCCATTTTAACGTTAAAGACAAGTCTAAACAGTTTTTTACTCCAATCCAGTTTAAGCATATTTATGTGAGCCCTGATAAAAAGCAAGTTGAATGATTTAAGTAATAGATAAAGGAAATTTTCACACCAGCTTCAAATGTGTGGCCTTGCCAGCTATTATATATATTGTAATTTAACAACATAATATTTTATTTACTAATATATTAAAGTCTTTACCCAAATGCATTTCAGTTCTTAAGCAGTTTTGTGTATCAAAGAAAAACTTTGCCTGCATTTAAGTTTGATATTAATATGCATAAATAACTCAATGAACTTATCTTAGATATTTTGGCATCCATTAGCTTAAGACGATTGGATAATAAATCTGAGATTTTATTTAAGAAATTGTGAGAGGCGAACGATGATAAATGCTCCTATCGGATTGATGATGAAATGTATGAAATGCCGTTAGCCCTTTAATCAAATTATGCTGTGAGCCAATCCAATATCCTGGCAATGCAGGCGAACAATGAAGTAAATTAATCTACTTGCTGTGAGACGGTTAAGTGTATTTGGTTATGCAGTAAATTAAATTCAAGAAACGTTGCAAACTCTGACAATATGCAGTTAATAACACTCACACACACACACACACACACACACACGAAAACAGCAGCAGGAGATTGTTGAAATAACTGCTCATCAATTTCTGCACAACTTGATATGCAAATCACGTTTGTAGACCGTAACACAGGTCGATTATAAAATATTAATAAATTAATTTAAATTCAAATTGTTATCAGAGTGCAGCCATGTCCAGGCGGCCACGCCTCCTTAAGCCAAGCGTAAATCAAAGCCGGCGACAGTTAATGGCTCAATTTAAGGTGCTCGTAAAAGGCTTATGAGCGCCCTTGCCCCACTCTACTCCGCGCAACCTTTGGCAAATTTATATGTACATACATACATACACACAAATCTAAATCCAAAATGCACTGTTGTCAATTTTCACGGCACAATTTATGTTAATTCAGTTGTAACCTTTGATACCATGAGGCAAGGTGGAAAGGTGACGCCTGCTCTTAAACCCATCAACGATCCCAAAAGCATCCATTATACACACACACACACGCACTTATACACACACATACGCACACGCACTAATTCACATACAGACACACAATGACTGGCAACAATCCATTAGTGGGTTACTAACGGTTCTCTTGCCGGCGCCATTTTGTGTAACAACTGCAAATCAATGCCCTGACGTGAAAAATGGCAATGGCGCTTTTGTATGCCATGTCTATTATAATATTCCTATATTATTTTATGCATGCAACTGTGTTGGCCCATCTATGTACGTGTGTGCATGTATGTACGTATGTGTCTATTCGAGTGTGTGTGTGCGCGTGTGTCTGCATTTTCGTAATCAACCTCATGATAAATCGTTTGCGCAAAATTTATTGAGTTTTTGCATGACATTCAACTCAACCGACAGCAGCTGCAGCGACCAATCATATCTGAAAACAGTATTACAAAGTACATTTTATGTATTTTTGGGAACTTATTCAAGCTCTCGTTATGTATTAAAATATATGTTAGATAGATTTAGACAGAGGTTTTTTGTATTAAAAGCATAAAATGTTATACGTAATCATAAAAAAAATTAGTTTGAGTCCTTATGCACTTAAAATATATTTGATGCAATAGAAATGAATATTGTGTTGTATTAAAGAACACTATGTGGAATTTTAGAGCTTTCTAAAAATGTACTATAATATCAGTAGATCTAATCTATCATATTTGGTTTGAGTTTTTAGTTTGAGTTTGCAAAAAAATATTAACAATACTTATAGTCACTATTTATAATAATGAGACATTTCATAAGACAGTTATTATATCAAATCTTGCATTGAAAAAAAAAAAAGACAATAATATTGTTCTCTTCATTAAGAAACTAATGTCTAAAGCAATCCTAGTCGCCTGAATGCATCCACAGTAACAATAGCTAGTGAAATCAGTTGCAAATGTCAGACTACTTCTTCAATTTTAATTGTATTATAAATACCTAGCAAACAGTGTACCAAATGGGAAAACTTAACGAAATATGTATTTAAAAATTTTCGACATACAAAATGCAAATCCAAACAGTTTGTGTTTATTGCCTAACGATAGCCGATAGGAGTTCATTTCCATGCCAAACACTTTCATTTAATTGCCAGATATTCGAATACCAGTATGTGTATGCATACATGTGCACACATACATATATATGGAACAGTTTTTATTGTTTGATCAGCTGTTGAACATCTACAGTTAAATGCGGTAAAACATAAAAATATTCAATTGAACGATGTTAGCCAAAGTGTGCTTCGAATATCAAAGCTTTCAGCACAGTTTACCTGCTGAGAGTCATTTGAGTTCACATCGAAATTATGGTTTTTTTTTTTATATTTGCTTTTACAGATACATAGACAGATACAGATACAGATACAGATACAGATACAGATACAGATACAGATACAGATACAGATACAGATACAGATACAGATACAGATACAGATACAGATAGATAAGTCACTTTTATATCTCTTGATATGTGAGAATAAAATCTTTGACGGCTCAAATCAAAGAAATGTTAGCGTCAACAAATTTTTGTAGGGCCCGGCAAGTGAAAAGAAAGAAAACCAGAAATCAATAAAAATTTCTTTTTGCATGCCAGTTTAGCACATAAATTCTTTGCTACACCACACACTGCTGCATGCATTTGGATGCATGCGTGTATGTATGTGTATTCTACCTATAATTGATGACTGCATAGATGTGGCACTGGTT